TTCACCCCAGGGTCCTGAGGGAGCTGGCAAAAATGCTCGCTAATCCACGTTCCATCATTTATCAGCAGTCCTGGCTAACTTGGGAGGTCCCAGTTGAGTGAAGGCTTGCAGATGTGACATCCATCTACAGAAAAGGCCAGAAGGAGGACCTGGGGAACTGCAGACCTGTCAGTCTGACCTCGGTGCCAGGGAAGGTGATGGAACAAATCATCCTGAGTGCCATCACACATCACATGCAGGACAACCAAGCGATCAGGCCCAGTCAGCATGGATTCAGGAAGGGCAGGTCCTTCTTGACTAACCTGGTTTCCTTCTATGACATGGTGACCTGCTTAGTGGATGAGGAAAAGGCTATGGATGTTGTTTACCAGGACTTTAGTAAAGGCAGAGGTGCTGGAACGTGTCCAAAGAACAGCAATGAAGCTGGTGAAGGGTCTGGAGCACAAGTCTTATGAGGAGCAGCTGAGGGAACAGGGATTGTTCAACCTGGAGAAAAGGAGACTGAGGGGAGACCTTATCACCGACCTGTCACAAGTGTTGTTCCACAGAGCTCAGTACTGGGGCCACTTCTGTTTAGTATCTTTATCAATGACATAGATGAGGGAACTGAGTGCACCCTCATTGAGTTTGCAGATGACCCTAAGTTGATCTCCCTGAGAGCAGACAGGCTCTACAGAAGGACCTGGACAGGCTGGATCGATGGGCCAAGGTCAAATGCATGAAGTTCAACATTGGGTTCTGCACCTGGGTCGCAACAACCTCATGCAATGGTAGAGGCTTGTGGAGGAGTGGGCTGGAGAGCAGCCTGGAGGAGAAGGACCTGGGGGTGCTGATTGATAACTGGCTGAACATGAGTCAGCAATGTGCCCAGATGGCCAAGAAAGCTGATGGCAACCTGACCTGCATCAGGAATAGTGTGGCCAGCAGGAGCAGGGAAGTGATCCTTCCCCTGTACTTGGCACTGGTGAAGCTGCATCTCAAAAACTGTGTTCAGTTTTGGGCCTCTCACAACAAAAAGGACATTGAGGTGCTGCAGCTGTCCAGAGAAGGGCTACAAAGCTGGTGAAAGGCTTAGAGGACAAGTCTTATGAGGAGCGGCTGAGAGAGCTGGAGTTGTTTAGTCTGGAGAAAAGGAGACTGAGGGGAGACCATATAACCCTCTAAAACTACTTAAAAGGAGGTTGTAGTGAGGTGCGGGTCAGTCTCTCCTCCCTCCTAGCTAGTGTGTAATGGCCTCAAGTTGTGTCAGGGGAAGTTTAGGTTGGACATTAGGAGGAATTTCAGTCACAGTAACCCCATGCAGCGCTTCAGCCCTGGGGATGAGTGGCTGAAAAGCTGCCAGGCAGGAAAGGGCCTGGGGGTCTTGGTGGACAGCAGGATGACCATGAGCCACCAATGTGCCAAGAGGGCACATTTCCTATCCCCTAAGGGACAGGACACCAGAATATCTGAGGATTTGGACAATTTAAATTCCTGGATACTTGTGATAAAGCAACTAAAATCATCCTGGGCTGAAGAACAGGCTCATAAGTCTCTGGAGATCCTCTTCCTTGTGCAGAGAGTGAGCCGAAAGAGAGGAATGTTTTACACTCCTTCCTGCTACAGAGTGAGACAGAACAAAGTCTATTGGTTTTTTTCTGGTTCAGGAGAGAACTGAAACATGTTAAGTAAGTATTTTAAATCCTCTCCTTGTCCAGGAAAAAGAAAATTTAAAACTTGTTCAAGTAAGAAGAGTCTGCTGCCAAGGAATAGCACTATTTGACAAGGAGGTTCTTTCCCTTGGCAGTATAGCTGCCAATCTACTGCCAGGAGCATCCAGCACCTCTGCTCCAGGCTGTGCCTTCAAGGAGCCCAAGCTGACTCAGAGGTTTGACCTTCTGTTAGCACTCCTCTTCACAGCTTGGAGAGCCTCAGGGCTTTCTTCCAAACAAAGGCAATTTAGCCTATCCCAGTATAATACTTCAGAGGTATTTCTGCTTGTAGAACTCTAACACAGAAGAAATGCACTATGGAATAAACTAGTAATACGGGCATTGGATGGCTGTAGTGGCTGAAGCAGAAGTTACATCTTTTTCAGGAGCTGGTACTTAATGCTTCTGTAGAACACTAAAACCTCTACGGTGAAAAGGCTCTTAGTCCTCATCATTCAAATTCCAGTATCTTAAAACAATGAAGTGTAAGTTATTCTTACACCATGATGCTTATCCAATTTCCTTTTCATTTATTCTGACACTTTCTCATCTGTGTTTTTCTTTATGCAGTGCTCCTTCAAGTCTCCATTATTAAAGTAACTCTACCAAATAATAAGTATTTTCAAACCTCATTTTCAGAACTGTTATGAAGGAGAAAATAATCCTGTTGAAAGCAAATGAAGGATTCCAAAATTTGGAAATGACAAGGCAGGTTTTAGGAGGAAAGTCAAGCACATATAAATCCAGATAAAATCCAGAACACTCCATGTAACATTTTATTTTCTGTGTCTGGAATCAGTATCATAAAGTCACTTGGCAGTAATTGAATGTTTCCAGATGCAGTAGCTGAGGTAATGCTGCAAGTTTGAAAATTATAATACCCTATTAAAAAAGAGTGTTGTATAAATAGAACCCATACCCTAGTCCACTAGAGCAAGAGTTACTTTCCACTAGCTGTCAGCCGTTCCCTTTTTGCTGCAAGATTTGCCTTTTCCACAGAAATATATACCATAACTTGAGTGTGTTTATAACATACTGTATATACTATGCTGCGACTCAACTCTCACTTCTGAGGTTTTTTGTGTTTGTTTGTTTTTGGGATTTTTTTACAGATATCAATGAGTGCAGTTCCTTCTTTGGTCAGGTGTGCATAAATGGACAGTGTTTCAATGAGATTGGTTTCTTCAAATGTTTATGTAATGAAGGATATGAACTTACACTAGATGGCAAGAATTGCATTGGTATGTATGATACCATATGGAGATGTTAAAGTACTGATGAGCTGAAATAATCCATCTATTAGCTCCCATCTAGAGGGAAGCTCCACACTCTGAGTAGATAAGTATTAAAAAAAAGGCAGTGACTTTAATGAAAACGCAGTAGAGGTAACTGGGTTTTGGGACAGTTTATTATCTTCAAGCATTTAAATGCCTTAGAAAAAGAAAATCAGCAAAGAATCCTACGGTCTTTTTCATGCATAAGCCTGTTTTGTAACCATAAGACTTACATTATTCTAAACCTTTCTTCATTCCATCTCATCTCCAAAGATACTAATGAGTGTGTGGCATTACCCACTGCATGCTTTCCTGGTACCTGCCAAAATTTGGAGGGATCATTCAGATGCGTCTGTCCATCAGGATATGAAGTAAAAAGTGAAAGTTGTATTGGTAAGGCAATTTGTTATTTTTGCTTTTGAACAATTTAAAAATGAGAAAAAGTATCTTGTTCTAATTTGGTGGAAAAGACATCCTAATGTTTGTGAATGCTGCCTGACTTAAAATCATGGTGACAGGGAATAAATAAGTAGGAAAAGTCTCTTCAGAAAGAGGTTTTAAAAATAGAAGGCAAGATAATTTGTATTGTATTCTACTATATTTTGTACATTAACTTCTTAATTAATTAATTAAACAGAAAAATACTTTTCAAAAAATGATATTTTACCTTTCAGTAACTTTGGTTTTTTGAAAAATAACATTCATATAATTCATATATATATATAACATCTGGAATATTGCATCCAGTTCTGGCCCCCTCAGTTCAAGACGGACAGGGAACTGCTGGAGAGAGTCCAGCGTAGGGCTACAAAGATGATGGAGGGAGTGGAGCATCTCCCTTATGAGGAGCGGCTGAGGGAGCTGGGTCTCTTTAGTTTGCAGAAGAGGAGACCGAGGGGAGACCTCATTCATGTTTATAAATATTTAAAGGGTGAGTGTCACGAGGATGAAGCCAGGTTCTTCTCGGTGACAAACAATGATAAGACAAGGGGTAACGGACACAAGCTGGAAAGCAGGAGGTTCCACTTAAATTTGAGAAGAAACTTCTTCTCAGTGAGGGTGACAGAGCACTGGAACAGGCTGCCCAGAGAGGTTGTGGAGTCTCCTTCTCTGGCGACATTCAAAACCCACCTGGACGCCTTCCTGTGTAACTTCATCTAGGTGTTCCTGCTCCGGCAGGGGGATTGGACTGGATGATCTTTTGAGGTCCCTTCCAATCCCTAACGTTCTGTGATTCTGTGATATAATTAAAACAAACCAACCTGTGTACTGGATTTATGTAATACTTACAGAAAAGTAACTATTGGCAATCAAGACATGAACTAAACTTCTGGTTTCAGAGGGCTATTTAGTTTAAAAATCTTGCTAAAATTATGGAGCTTATAGGAACGTTTTCTTAAATTGGTTTCTTCTAAAAATTATTTTCCAATTTCGTGTTTTGTATAGTGTCTTTCAAGTGCCGAGATTCACAGGAGACGTAGGAGGGTACAGCAGACCTTTCATGAGTTTGCATGTTCTTGTTTGTTCATATAAGTCTCGTTTAAAGCCTTCAGTATCATTCAGGAGCTGAATGTCACACAATGAACTAAGATCTGGTGTGGCAGAGAATGAGAAATGAATCCCAGTTACAACTGGAATTTTATTTTATTTTAAAAAAATTGTATGTATTTCCTAAGTCCCAGAGTTCTGTCATCCTTCTGTATCATGCCACTACATTCAGCTTGCCTGCCAACTTCATTTCTTTAGGCAGCTGCTGTTTCCATATTAGCAATTATATTTGAGATGAATTCAAATCACCTATAGTTGTAAAGTCATGACTTTGAAAGGAAAGCTTTTGGTTTTCCAGGAATATGAACTGCTTATGGCCACTTCAGTATCCTGACAGAATCTCTTGCTGCTTTTGACAGCACCAGTGACTGCCAAACACATTTTTTCCGAAACTGAGTAAAAGGGACTTACATTCTTTTTTCTCGTTCTGTCACATGTCCAGAAAATTTGCTGCTAAAGTTCCTAGAAAATGCCTAGATAATCACTGATACTTTGTTTAATATTATGACAGCTCTTGCAACATACAGTCCTTATTACTTTCTATTGATCTTGTATGCAAACAGCTTTATAAGAATTAATTACTTCTGTCTGTAATGTGAAGGTTGGCAATGGCTAGACTAGTTTTTGAACTCCAGGGCATTATATGCAGGTGAAACTAGAACAGATGGGAGCCACATAAAAATTCTTAGTTTTCATCTACATGTTTACTATATGGGAATGAAGGGTAGAGGACCCATTTACTTCCACAGTCTGGCTAGTCACCTGTTTGTGGCCACAAGAAGAGTTTCTTCCTCTAGTCTCAAGCCATTCATTACAGTAATAATCACTACTTCAAAAGAGCAGTTTTTCCATCCCATTAATGCAGCTGAATTGCTAAGCTTTGTATATTATCAACGGCCACGCTAACTGGGAAATTAATTACTTCTTTTTTTTCACTGAAAGTAGCTGACTTAAACTGCTTCACATAGTAAGAGCCTGTCCTGGAAAGCTACTGTAGAGTTTGGTCATATGCCAGATTATGCTACAGTGATTTGTTCTTGTGCTATACCTAATAGTAACTTCTAAAAACAAGGCTCAAGTTAATATTTTTCAGAAGTAACATCACAGAATATTCCTACATGACTTCTTGCATCACTCCACTTACATATTCCTAGTGATAAAGACTATATTTCCATTGTTTACTTATGTGCTACATACAGGTCAGTTTTCCAAGATTCAAACAAAGAGTCCAACAAATATCAGGAAAAATGATGCTACAGATTTGTAACTCAACATCCATGAATCTTACTTTCATGTAGAATACCTATTCCTGCCTACCCTTTAATTAAGATCAATATGAATGTTATTGTAGAACACTTATACAGCCATAGGTGTCTATGATGGTTTTCTTAATATCCATTACTGAAAGACTCAAGAGGGGTTGTACTGCAGTACAGCTTTGAAGATTATTAAAATGCACTTCAGAATTTATTAAATTATAATTACCTTTACACATTACTTTAGCAAGAAGGCTTATAGCTTCTGTCATTATTTGCAGAATATAATAAACTAAAATGCAATTTAAAGTAATAGACATGAAAAATTAAAAGCCTTTTAATGTATTATTTTTCTTACTCTGTCTATTGTCTATGTAGATGCAGGATATGCAGCCTGATACTGTTTGAGCTGCACAGTTTTACAGGCACTTGGTGTGTATATTAAGTACTCTTTTTTTGTTTAAGTTTTTAATATTTTTTTAAAGATTTAAATAGTCATATTAAAATATTCTAAATTATGCTATTGAACAGGAAAAATTTTAAGTAATGAATCAAGAGTGGCTGTGGAAGACTGGTAGATATGAATATATAAATATAACATAGGCCTTCCTCTACCAATAACTAGCTATAGTTTCAATTCAAGAGTCAGTCAGCATGAAAAAAGCCAACCATTAAGTATAAAGAGTCCCAGCATACAGATTTTTAAAAAATTAATCTTTGGATGTTTTATGTTTACAGAAAAATATTTTTCTTATGAGAAATGTATCTTCTGTGTTTCACTCTGAAAGCATTTATTTAATGTCTGTGTTATAAATATGACAAGGAACAGAGAATGGTATTTGGAGAGGAGAGTACATACCAGTGAAGTGCTCTAATTTGAAAGAGTTAATGGAACCTTCAGGCTGCTTTATCTCTTGATTGCTTTATTGGAGGAGCACCTCCTGCCTAAGTTGAATAGATAAATAAACAATGTTTCTTAACCAAAGGATTCACAGCCAATGGGGTTACAGTGAACCTTTTCTCCTTTAATTTACAGATGTTGATGAGTGTAATGAGGATCCCAGCATCTGTCTCTTTGGTTCTTGTACAAACACTCCAGGAGGTTTCCAGTGCATCTGTCCTACGGGTTTTGTGCTGTCTGATAATGGACGGAGATGTTTCGGTAAGTTAATGATTGAGGAATATAGTAACTTATTCTAACAGATAACAAATACTCTGTAGAATGTGCAAAAAGTGGCCTCTGCAAGTCTTTTCTAAACTATGCCCTTATGAGGGTTGAAAAGTCCTTTAAAAATAGTGTGAAAAATACAGGCCTAACATTGTTCCTTTCAGGGATAAGCAGTCATCATCTATACCAGGTAGAGGATGCTAGCTGCATATAACTGTATTTTCTTTTTTAGATACTCGCCAGAGCTTCTGTTTCACTAACTTTGAGAACGGGAAATGCTCAGTGCCAAAGGCTTTCAACACCACAAAGGCAAAGTGTTGCTGCAGTAGAATTCCAGGAGAAGGATGGGGTGATCCTTGTGAGCTCTGTCCAAAGGAAGAAGAAGGTACCCATGAAGATTTAAAATAAAGCCTTTTTCGGTGGGAGAAAAGGAAAAGCACATTTGTACTGTTCGTTTTTGATCATTAGAGAGATCTTTTTGGCATTCTCTCTTGTGACCTTTTCTAGAACCATTATCAGATCAACAAAAGGAACAAAATTAAATAGAAGAAACCACAGAAAAATAGAAATACTGAATTGTTGTTTTAACTCTGTAGAGAAATGAATTAGTAGCCTTCATATGTAGGTCTGTCCTGCTTTAGGGAAAAGAGAAGAACAAAATGGGACAGTGTCACGAATCCCTGAGTTTTCAGGTTTTTGTTTTCATGAAGTACAGAAAGTGGAAGGCACCAAGGACAGACACATGTGGAAGCTCAGCAAGGTCTAGTGCTGCTTCCCCAACCTAGAGACAGTGTTAATTTTGCATCCGGCAAGACAGCATAATGGCCATGATTTAAACAGTTGAGAGTTTTAAAAAATATGATGTAGAAGATTATTGGATGTCTTTAACCATCTGTCATGGTTTTCTTTTCTTTTCTTTTTTTTTTCCCCAAAAAACATACCTCTACAGTTGCTTTTCAGGACCTGTGTCCCTACGGTCATGGAACTATTCCTGGAATTGATGATACACGTGAAGGTAAGTATTATTTTTCCTGATAATTTGGAAAAAACCCAAATTAATTATACATAAAACTAGACTTGGACATTATAGTATGTGATAGCTTATTCCCCACAGCTCCAGGTGACAAAGAGACAACATTTAACAAACGTGAACCATTATGAAATGATAGTTAAAAGATTACCTTTGAAATTGCATGGCTAGAGACAAACAGAATAGGGCATTTATGTTTTTTTAAAACCTTTTTTAAGACTTGATACAGAAATGCATCAACTAAATGGTTGCTAATATCATCCTGCTTTTTAGATGTCAATGAATGCCTTGAAAACCCAGGAATTTGCTCAAATGGTCAGTGCATCAATAGTGATGGATCATTCCGCTGTGAGTGTCCCATGGGATACAACTTAGATTTCACTGGAGTGCATTGCATCGGTGTGTCCATGTTTCATAAATTATAAGAACTGTAATGCTTGTATTTAAAACACAATTTGAAATACGCCCCAGGTCTCTTCAGTTTGCATTTATTCATTATATACAGATACTGATGAATGTTCGGTTGGCAACCCATGTGGAAATGGTACGTGCACCAATGTGATCGGCAGTTTTGAGTGCCGCTGTCACAAAGGATTTGAGCCAGGTCCGATGGTGAGCTGCGAAGGTAACGTGTCCTCTTATCCTGGTTTTGCTAGAACTGAGTTGTAGAATTCAATTTAGTGTTTCAGGAGTGTTCACTTTAAATGGACACAAGTTAATATTGGAGCCTTGGCCAGGATGGACTTGTTTTCCTTAAGAAGCTGATAATTTTTTTTTTAATTTTGCATTGTTGCCAGCAGATATTTTCATTTTCCAAACTTTTACCTGCATGTGTGGTTACAGTTTCTTTTAGGTTTTTTTTATTTCTCTCTGCACAAGAGAAAGGGGTAGCACTGAAATCCCAGGACTCTCTGGGATAGGTGACCCAGGACAGATGATCCCGGTCTGATCCAAGCTGACCAATAAAGGTGTATTCTATACCATAAACATCACGCTCACTGTACATTGGAGAGCTTGCAGGAAATGACCCCTTCAGCCCTTCCTCCTCCTTCTTCTTCAATCCCTATCCTTCTACTTCGTGATGGCAGCCCTCCCCTCGTGTTGTGACTGGTCTATGGCCAGTACCTGCTGTTTGTGAGCTGAGTATAACTTTGATTGCTTTATTATAATTGTTCCGATTCTTTTTACAGTTAATTTGCATTACTGTTATTTAAATTTGGGTTGTTTTAGTTATTGAATAGTCTTTATCTCAACTGATGAGTCTTTAATTTTAATCTCCCAGTTATCTCCCCTATCCAACCAGGAAGTGGGGAGGGCAACTGAATAAAATGCATGGGTTTCAGCTGCTTGACAGGTTAAGCCACAACACATCTTTATGTTTTTTTCTTTATTTTTTTGTCCAGTCCTCAGTATTCAAATTACTTTAATAACCAGAACTTTAGTGCTATTGTGGGTAGGAGGAAAAAATTTCTGCTTGAAATACATCATTAAAAAAGACATCCTGAATTGATTTACGCAGTATTTTTAGTTCATCGCAGGGTTTCCCAAACTGCATGTTGTGGTATGTTACATTATACAGCTGTTTGTTGTAAAGGGGTTAGGGTAGTAATGATTGAGGCCCCAAAATATCCTCATAAATGGCTAACCATGGCAAAAATGCCTGCATTTGCAAAGCATTCTTCGTAACTGAGGCAGAGCAGTTATGAACTGATCAATTCATCACAGTTATAGTAACAAGTCAGTTACACTGAACGTAATAAGCTGAAGTCAGACCAATGGTCCATCTAGTCCATTATTTAATCACTCACAGTTGAAATGCTAATTCAACATACAAACATGACTAACAGCTTTCTGCAGTTCACTCCACTAATACAAGAGCAGATGCTATAGGTACAATATTACGTGAACTGAGGAATGCAACCCTGCAGAGTCAGTTTTATCCACTTACGGATCTGTTATCCACGATTCTGTCCAGTACAGTCTTGAATCTGCCTCCACAGCCTCTTGTGGCAGCAAGATCCAGAATGTCACTACTCTCACTACTTAAAGAAGTATTTTCTTTCATCTGTTTTAAACTAATCCCCTATTAGTTTCATTAAGTGCCTTCTGTTTTTCAATGTGTGGAATTTATGTAGAACCATTCTGCTCTCATCACATGCTGATCAGGATGCTTCTTACAAATTTTGTACTTCATCGATCATAGTTCATTTTCTGAAGCAAGAATTCATTGTATTTTTAGAGCTGGGAAAAAAAGTTGATATCTCTTACCACACAAAAATACATTTAAAAATGTTCATATAATAAAAATCTGAAATAGGCCTGTCCCAAGTTGTCATTCTACATTTAAGTAGTTCCATATTTTTCATGCCATTATTTTTAAGTAGAGCTTTGTTTTCTGTGGCCACTCAAAACCAAACATCCACAAGTTTCTGGTTTGAATTATTACATTTCTGATACTTTTTAGCTGACAAGAGAAGGTTTTAGAAAACCTTCTTGGTGATTGTTTTAAAACTGAGTGGAGAATTATTATTTTGTTCCTTTCTGTTCAGATATAAACGAGTGTGCTCAGAATCCCTTGCTATGTGCATTTCGTTGTATCAACACTTACGGTTTCTATGAATGTATATGTCCAGCTGGCTATGAACTAAGAGAAGACCGTAGGATGTGCAAAGGTAATGACTGATGTATAAACTTTTCCCCAACATCCATCACCCTGTACTGGCCCAGGCATAATCCAGATATTTCTGTGCATCTTGCATTCGTCCCCTCAGTGGAATGTAGCAAACAGCCCAGCAGATGATGATTTACTCGTTCAGAACTCATGTAAGAGCAGTGTCTGGTGTTTTTGTTAGTGAGTGTACTACTTGATGGAGATTGTAAAGCCAAGAAAGTCACAATAGTGACGTTCATTTTTAACATGGCAAGATGATACAGCTTACAAAGATTAAGGCATAGCTCTCAGATCTTTCTTCAGTGCTTGTTAATTAGGAACGTTTGTATGTCTTTTCTTCTTGAGGAAGTGCTAGTTGTCTTCAGTAACTTAAGCTCCTCGAAGGAAGTTCAAATACAAAACATATTTTTTCCAGATATGGATGAGTGTGCTGAAGGTCTTCATAACTGTGAATCAAAAGGCATGATGTGCAAAAATTTGATTGGTACCTTCATATGCATTTGTCCTCGAGGAATGATCCAGAGACCTGGTGGAGAAGGCTGCACAGGTAAAGCTTAGAGAGAGAAGAAGGCATTCTGCTAAAGTACAAACAAGCAAACAAATGAAAAATTCTCTGTATATGTAGATAGTAAACTAGAAAGTAGCAATTAATAACGAACATTTAAGATTGCTAATTATGCCAGACACCTTTAACTTTTTTTTTCGGTTCAAGGTTTGAACCTTTTCTGGGAGCAGTTCTAAATGACTAAGTGTTTCAGAAGATAAACTCTTGTTTTGGTTTTTTTTTTTGTGGTACAACAAGATCAGAATTTTTTTCAGACATTTGTTAGATTTAAAAAACTAAATTACCAAACCAAAGAGACCTCGGATTAGTACAAAGCAAAATTATAATCAATAAAAAGTTAAATTTTCTTTAGCATTAACACTGTTTATAAATAATGTGGCAGTTCCTTAAAGATTTAAAACTGTAGGATTCTGAAACAATATATAAAAGCTATGAAGAGCAAAAAATGTGGAAACTGCCATAGATTAAAATAATTCTGTAAGTAAGAAAACAGCTTTCCTCCATCATTTTCTCAATTAGTTGAGGGGAAACTGGTAGCTACATTTTGGCAAATTATACTTTCTTCTAGTACATAAAAGATCCCAAGTCCATTCCAAAGTTTTCTGTGGACAGAAGTAGCTGACTGTCTCTGTGGACATAGGCTGTCATTGTCTCAGAGGAAAACCAAAATTAAACATCTATCTCAGTGAATGCTTTCAGTGAAAGTATTTTTAAGACAGTGTTCCTTTAGCAAGAGAATGACTACTCTCTTTTACATATCTTTTTTTTTTCAGGATAAATAATATGTATTAACAAAATTTTGCCTTTTTTGCCATGTAATGCCCCTTTTAAATCCCCTGAGTTTTTTCTGAGGTTTAATTTTAACCATCTGTAAAGGTGTGTAATTGCTTACAGATCTGTGCCATTAGCTATGGAAGAAAATACACTTAAGATTGTAAACTGTTTCAGGGTAATGACGAGCAGACTGAAAAGTGACTGCAGAAGAGGTCAAACATATTCAAAAACTCTTAATGATTACAAAGTGAAAATTTGTTACTCAAATCATGCATGTATTCTAATTTTATTTAACCTAGGATGCAGTACATAAGGAATGGAATGGGATAGGAAGGGGCTTTATTAGTAAGTCCTTTCCAGGCTTAATCAGTTCCTGGTTTTCTGTTTCTTGCAAATACGTTGCAAATATTACACAGAATAATTCATGCATTCTAGGAGGCTGATATATTTTCTTATAACTATTTATTTATTTTTTTAATTGTATTTTTGTAAAGATGAAAATGAATGCCGCACCAAGCCAGGTATCTGTGAAAATGGTCGTTGCTTGAACATTATTGGGAGCTACCAATGTGAATGCAATGAAGGATTCCTGTCAAGTCCATCAGGCACTGAGTGTCTTGGTAAATACCTCTTGCATACATTTCATCTTACATTAAGGTATAAAGGAAGCAGAGTGTAAATTAGGCATCTGAGTATCTAACACCTCTCATTTCTACAGAAATGAAATAATGATCCTTATTAATTAAACAGGGATATGATATTAAATAATGATAGGAATTTGGAGCATCTTGAGAATGTCAGCTAAGTCTAGCAATCAGGGGCTGCACATAGAAGTGTCTAAATTCCAAAGGATGTAAATATGGTGATGAGCAACACTATCCAGACAAAAGACAGGTATTTTAAAAGCAGTAGAATTTAATTACCTTGGATAGATCAAAAACTGGGATGCAGATAAAAATTAAGTGTTTGCATATTCCGAACACCATCTTTTAAGCACCACAACACTGCAAGTAGGCATCTGGATTTTCTGTACCTTTAATTCAGACAGTGATTATGAATACAAAATACTAGAATTTCACCAAAAAATTGCAAGATACATTAAAAAGTTTTGGGGCAGGCCTGCACATTAAATGCTGATGAAGGGTTTTCATCAATCTGTATTTCCTTTTCAGTATGTTCAGACTTGTCGTTTGCACTATAAAATTAATTGTTCATTTTTTAGAAATCAAACAGAACTGCAAAACCTTACTTTTTCATGATCAGTGTTCAATTGTAGATACTTAAAATACTGAAACAGTACAAATACTTATTAGTATAATTGCATTAAGAATACTTACATGTTAACATTTACAGCTCCCTGTAAATTGTTATCAGTAGTGTGCTGACTTCATGACAAAGCAATAACATTGGAAGTGCAGGGTATTTCCTAAAGATTAAGACCAGATGGGGAGAGGATGCCGCAGTCTGTAAACCCCAGCCAGTCATTAATGCCAAGGAAATACCCTGCTTGGAGGTCATTATTGCTTTCATATATGATTTTCTTATTATTTTCTGAAAACTATGCTTTGGGTTAGTTTACTCATTGCTACTTTTCCCTTAGGGTTTCCTGGGTCAGAAATTACAATGAAAAATTAGTCTGCCAGAAAGAAAGTATTTCTTCAAAGTTAAAGTACAAGCATCAAATCTTAGATTACATTATTTTAACTATATTATGCAACCTTTATATTCTGTTCATATTAAAATGTATTCCACATCTCAAATTGGGGACAAAGCATTGTAAGTTCTTCAAGTCATAATGTGCATAAAGTTCTACACAATATACCTATCTAGGAGCATGGAAATCTGCAGAGTCTTACAAATTACTGCAGCAAACATGATCCCTCACACAGCAGGCACTTTCAGTGAGGACAGCTTCATTTGATGTAAACAGTTAAGTTACTGGGCACCCAGAGTACGTTTTGCCTAAAGCCAAAGTTCGCATATTACCTGTTTCATGTAAGAAATGTACAGATTCTAATCCTTGTACTTGTAAAAAGGAAGGTCAGATTGGTGTTGATACATCTACACATTTTGAGTAATCTGAAGGATTTTATCTCTTAGCTTTAAGAGAAAAAAAATAAAATATTTAATTTAAAATATACGTGTCTGCCTGACTATAGTTGACAATGTCTCCAAATAAGACAGATGACATAGCTTATTTAGAAGGTATAATCTGCAAAAATTAGAGTTCTCATTAGTACTGTAAGGTGGTATCTCGGCTTTCCTCAGCTTCCTGTTTGAAGGAAACTTGTAGGAGTTAACCGTCTCTGAAGTTTTGCTGCTCTTTGATGATTGACAGGTTAATAGGTTAGTATCTGTTAACCAAAACGTTCAAAAATTAAGGAAAAAAGAAGTAGGAAGGGACAAACAATAAGGGCATATAAGTCTTACCTTTTTTTCCCCAACAAAACTAGGACTGCCACTGGAAAAGTACTGAGTTTCACAGGGCTGAGGATCTTGTTGTTTAAACCACATCAGGAGAATTACAAATGATCAGACATACTATTGGGTTGGCCAAAAAGTAACTGTGGGCTTTTTTTTTTATAGATGGACATACATACCTTCAAACATTGCTAACTTCATTTTAAACTGCAAATTCATTAAGTAACTTGAGAGCTGACAGTTTGTTTTAGAAAAAGAAAGTGCAGTTATTTATTTGGCATTGATTTCAAAATGGAAAATTGAAAGAACATTTTAATCATATTTTGCTGTACTAGATCAGAAAAGGTAAAAAACACTCTGGATGCTCATAAGAAGTTATGAAATGTGTATGGTGAAGATGCCTTAAAACTATGGTAGTGTCAGAATTGGTTTGCTAAATTTAGGGTTGTAGACTTTGATGTTAAAGAGGCACCAAGCTCAGGAAGGCAAATCAAAATTTATAATGACAAAATAAAAAAAAAGTCAAAATAAACTTCACAGACTGGTTGCTAATAATCTTCTAGTGCTTGCATGTGTTGCCAGAAAGCAAGAATAATACATCAGATCCTTATTGGATCAGATGTTTATCTCCTACTCTTTCTTGATCTCTCCACTTCTTTCTTACAGATAATCGTCAAGGGTTTTGCTTTGCTGAAGTTTTACAGACAATGTGTCAGATGGCTTCAAGCAGCCGGAATCTTGTCACAAAATCAGAGTGCTGCTGTGATGGAGGCCGGGGCTGGGGTAACCAGTGTGAGCTCTGTCCGCTTCCCAGAACTACCCAATATAAGAAACTCTGTCCACATGGACCAGGCTATACTACAGATGGAAGAGGTATTTCTAGGGATGAGAAGAGGCAAAGAAGAACAGAATATGCTCAGATATTTGAGAAAACACAGAATTCTCTTTGAAGTTTTTCAAAGAATTTCCTGTGAAACAACAAAATTTGATTTTTCAAATGCTGTGGAGAGACCAGAAATAGTAGCTGCAACCAGAATACTCACAATTGTGCAGATTTTTCAGGGTTGGGATCTGAAACAGGAGGTACCAGCCAGTAACTAAAAGTTAGAAATGACAGAACCCAAAGCTTTTGTATTTTGAAAAGTTTCATACATGGCCAAAGCAACAACAGTTTTTCCAACAGTCGTACTGAATGCTTTGCAGTTACTGTTTCCACACAGGAAGCAGAAGTGTCATACATCTTTAAACATACATCTTTAGATTGTGGTGAAAATTTTTGACATAATCTAACTGGTCATAAGACCCACTTCCATGGGTTGTGTGTTTTGACTTAGCTGAACTGGAACCCAATTACCCAATGAAATAAAAGGATAGTTTTGATTAAAAAAAAGCAAAGGGAAATTTTTAAGTATGTTTGACTTTGAATTGAGAACCACTTTTAGAGAGAAAGAAAGAGTAAAGTTCCTATCAAAAGCATTATGATGAGGAACTGTGTAAAAATGGAAAATTAAAAAGTCAAAATTAAAACTGAAAGATGACATATTTAATATTTTCTGTACAGATATTGATGAATGTAAGGTCATGCGAAACCTATGTAAAAATGGACAGTGTATTAACGCTATGGGCTCCTTCCGATGCTTTTGCAAAGTTGGCTATACCACTGACATAAGTGGTACATTTTGTATTGGTAAGCATCTTAATCGTCAGTTATTTTTTTAATATTTTCTGTCTTTTTTTCCTAATGTGCACTTCTGGTTTTGTATTTCCTTTGAGGAACAGAGAAATAAGCTGTACTGGGAGTATTTCTGCAGTAGAATGAGCACTAAAATATGCTTCAGCTGTATAACCATTTTGACTGACAAACCAGCTCCCTATTTTGTGGTCTACATTTTCCCACTTTCCTGCTGGTTAACACATATAAGTATACCATAGTATTCCCAAAAATGAATGCTTATGCTTTTGATGAAAATATTAATGCTGCTGTCACTCTAATATGTTACTCTTTCTGGACTCAGTTTGTCACTGTAATGGCAACTCCATAGAAACTTCACAGCAACACATCTGTAAAGAAAGAAATAAGAACTCTGAACAAATGTAAAATGGGAACTTTTTCCTAAAAATTTTTTCACTTAAATATAGTGCTGTTGAGAAAACACCCTTCAAAGACAGACAAAGAAATCAGTACAGCAGATACTTAATAGTTTCTCTCTTTAGATCTTGATGAGTGTGCCCAGTCTCCTAAACCTTGCCATTTTATCTGCAAGAACTCAGAAGGGAGCTATCAGTGCTCATGTCCTCGGGGCTACGTCCTACAAGAAGATAGAAAGACGTGTAAAGGTAAAGAAAGTTATACACAGGAACTTTTAAATTTGTTGCACCTTGAATTAAAAGAAAATTATTTTTAAATGTGATATTTTTATCAAGTTAGACTAAATGTACCTTTTTTCTTTGTTGACTTTTCTTAAGACAACAACATCTCTTACTTTCAGATCTTGATGAATGTCAAAACAAACAACACAATTGTCAGTTTCTCTGTATCAACACCCTTGGAGGCTTCACATGCAAATGTCCACCTGGTTTTATGCAACACCACACAGCTTGTATTGGTAAGAAAACCATTCATTTTCTTGCATCAGTTTTTCTATAAGAACAACATTCTCAGTTCTCATTCATTTATCTTGCTCTATATAAACAGTAATAATACAGAGCAATAATGTCAGCAGTCCAGACAACAGGTTTTGAAAAGCAACAGTTATAGCTGAAGAAAAATCAGTCTATCCACCATTTGTATTTTCTTGCTTAGTAAACAGTTGTACATACTTATACATATTATTATATTCTAAGTATAACCACATGGAGACAAAGGGGTAAAGTATTAGAATGTTTTAAAATGTAGTTAAACAAAAACAGTCTGCATTTTCTTTTTCAGATCTTAAACATCTGTATGAATCTTGCGAAATGAAACTATTGTAGTTCAGCTAACACAGAAGTGCAGCATTTTTCCACTGTCAGCAATTACATACCTGGGTTTTTTGCACTTGTAACTGAATTACAAATTGCACTTCCAATTTATTAATTTCTCATAGCTTTGCATGAGGTCATCTGACATTTAAGTATAGCTACATTTCAAAATAAACTGCTGAACATATGAATTTTCGGCCTCTTAAGAAATGTTATATGAATATGTCTAAAATCATACCACAGGGTATACCAACTTTCTTGTCTTTCCTCTGCATTTTTAAGATAAGAATGAATGTGCTTCTCAGCCATCGCTTTGTGGATCAAAAGGTATTTGCCAAAACAGCCCTGGAAGTTTTACCTGTGAATGTCAAAAGGGATTTTCTTTGGATTCTACTGGATTAAACTGTGAAGGTAACCAGCGAAGGTCACATTATTTTATGGTGCAAATCCTTCTGTGTCTAGTGAATCCTGTGATGTCAAAGACAGATAAATCAGAGCACCAGCCATAGTAAAAGTAAATACCAAAAAGAAATAGGAATGTATTTGAATAATTTTAAGCATAATTATATGTAAGAACATACTGCCTGAGAAATTTTTATACAGATTAGAATAAAAAGTGTCTTTATAGCTGAACTCTTGAAAAACTGTTTCCAGGCTGCCATTTCAACTTCACAAAGGTTTATGTATCTAGAAGTGTAGTTGTTTCTTCTTTTTCATTTTCATGCAGTCTAAAAATAATCTCTCTGTATTTTTTGTTTCAGTTAATTGCAATCATCAGATTAGATTCTACCACAGAGATACACATGCAGATGGGTAATTCACTGCAGTTAAAACACAAATTATATTGTTGAGCTTCATATCTCTCTGTTGGCCCAAAAGGGAGCTGCAGTGAGGAAATCTCTATTTGAGAGCTCCAGACTCTTCTATGGGGCTCAGATGTTGAGCAAAGAAGAAATTAAAAGACAGTACTAGGCCATCTGGCTGCTGAGAATTAGAAATGCAGATGATTAACATAAACATAAACATAAATATTAAGTTAAACATAAACTTGTACAAATTTATGACATCTCAAAATGTCAGCTGCCTTGATACAGCTTTCAGTTCCTGGCACAATGATTTGCTGCATCTCAGGATCTGAGACATCATGGTTCCATTAAATTTGTTTCAAACTGTGAACAGCTAAAGGGCAACTTAGAATCTGTGATGATTTTTTCTTTCCCACTAGAACTACATGCTATACCTGACACATTAGGCTGTTTACAATCTACCTATTTTTCACAGCAGCCACTATTTCAGATGACTGAGTTTTTCAATTTTTCTTTTCTTTGTGGCATTCTCCTTTATTTACACATACTTCAGAGACTTTTTAGATGGCTTTTTCTTTTTATTTGCAAAGGTAAGTACTTACATCCCAATTTGGTAAGTATTTCTCATATTCAAACACTTCAACATGTTCCAGGAAACTGAAAGCTTAGTCCTATGTAGTTGGTTTGAAAACTGAAATGAAAAAAACTCACAACAAACAGCTTCTATACCTAACAGCAAACCAACATTACGTGGGATTACGAGGAATAGTGTTTCTTCTCCACATCTGGGTAATGTAAGGGCTGAAAAGCTCCAGTCAGATTACTGAAAGATAGAACGCTACATTAATTGACTTTCAGGCTTTCTAAAAGACCAGCTTGAATGGTGTTTCCATCTTACAGCGGTACTCCTTTGTCCTAAATACTGGTGCTTCAATGAGTATGGTCAAAGTGAGTAATGTATTCAGCAATATGTATAATGTGTTCTTTCATGTTCTGCTTCTCTCCCAATTGCAAAGATGTGGATGAATGTGAGGGAGACCATGGGTGCCAGCATGGCTGTCAAAACATCCTGGGTGGATACAGATGTGGATGCCCACGGGGATATATTCAACATCACCAGTGGAATCAATGTGTTGGTAAGGAAACAAAGAACACAAAATACATTTAAACAGCAAAGGTGTCATAGTGTTTATAGTGACATCTGCCAGGTGAGGACAAGAATGGGCAAGAAAAAAGGTATGCAGGCATGAGTCTTTTTTTCCTCTCTCTCTCCTTCCATACACTTATTACTTCCAGCATAAATCCTTGACATAAGGTAACAAGAAAACACATTCATCCTGTTGAAACTGTGTAACAAGGAGTTTTCCTAGTAAGGCCTGACACCCTTCTTCTCAGAAAAATCCCCATCTTAGAAAGATGTTCATTGAATTCCTGAAAATATCAACATAAATACTTATACTGGGGAGAGGTGCAAATCCCAACTTTCATCAGTAAGAATCACTCATCATCATTAGCTATTTGAGAATAATACAGAATAGCATCTCTAGTAAATGGAGAGAAAAAATATCAACATAACCATTAAGGGTTTCCTATTTCCAAAATACAGTCTTAAGGCCAACATTATTCCTTTGGGCAGGGAACATGGACAAATTAATCAGCTAAGCAGTTTTACTGTAGGTTTAGTTCATTCAATTCATGATTTATTTTCTGTGTTTCATGAACTAAGCTAACTCAAATGAAATGTGTGATTTTTTTTTTTTAAATAAAAAACAGTACTTGAAAAACGCCATCCTGTAGTGTTCACAAGGCACCATAATAACAATAATTAACATTTTCGAGTGTACTTTCATGGTTCTCTGTCAATGGTGTCATAATCAAAGGATGGCTGTGAGCATTGCCATACATTTCTTCCAGGCCGATCTTTCTTACTGTCCTGATCCTAGATGTATTAATTAGTTTATTATACCCATTTTACTTTAAGTAGCACACCAGACAGTTTTTCTGAAGTCCCAACTACCATCATCACTCCTCACTTAATACTGCTCTACTGCAAAGAAAACAAAGGCTTGGGTTGGAGTGACAGGAACACACAGCAAACAACTACAACCAAACTCCAAACTGGCTACAGTCTCTGAATATTAGAGACAGTCCTCAAAAGAATATGTCTCCTAGTAACTGCAGGCAAGAATGGTAAAGTGTGCGCTAATGGTATTGGAGAGGAAAACACCTACAGGTAAACAGTACCTGGGTAAGATAAGTAAAATAAGCAACACTTGCCAACTATCAAGAGCATAATCTTCCATACAACAAGCTACTTTCCACACTTATTTTTCACAATGTAGCGTGGAACCAAATCAGTCATACTGACTGGAGAAGTCATCTTCTGTGTATCTTAATTCAAAACCCACAATATGAAGACAATACTTCCATTTTTCTTTCATTTTGGTTGGTTATTTAGATTGTCTTTTCCCTCACAGAGCCTGCAGTACAAGTATGTGCTAACTTTGCTCCATTGCTAAGTGATCAGGAACATGATCATGCTTTGAGTATGATTGGAGCTCCAGCTCATTTCTCTTCTGTGGACCTTAATGGCAGGAGTGTACTCTGCCAGGGGAAAGAGAATGCCTCGGAAAAGATGGGAGACAGACCTTGAAGGAAAAGAGAGCATTGAGTCAATATAAGGTTAACAGTAACAGTATCCTAGAATACCTTTACAGTGCAGCCATATGTGTTTGGAACCACTGCAAATGTACTTATTATTCAGAGACCAAGTCTCTATGCTGTAATGAGATCAAGGATGTAGCAGAGATGTAGGACTTGCAGATATCCTGATTTTTTAGCTACATCATGCTAGCCTGATGTCTATCAGATCAGAAGATACCAATATACTTTTGTTTGTTTACTAGATGAAAATGAATGCTCCAGTCCTAACATGTGTGGCTCTGCTTCTTGCTACAACACGCTTGGAAGTTACAAGTGTGTCTGCCCATCTGGATTTTTTTATGACAAGTTCTCCAGTGCATGCCATGATGTAAATGAGTGTTCTACCAAGAACTCCTGCAATTATGGTTGTTTCAACACTGAAGGTGGTTATCTTTGTGGCTGTCCACCTGGCTATTACAGGATTGGACAAGGGTGAGTATCTCCACACAATCATTCATCAAAGACATGTTCAGAAGGCAATAAAAAGGCTGGACCCTAGTCTGTCTGAAAAGCAGAGGTACAAATGAAGGACAGACTACTAAGTCACTCTTTCTACTTCCTTTGCACATCATATCCATAAGCTAGGAAAAAAGACATGTCTGTACATGCAGCATGATACTCGTTTTAAGTCTAGTATATAAGCAACATCAAACAATTAGTTCTGCTTTCTTCCCCAGTATCAGGACAAGAACTCTTTCATAAACCTGCTCAGTGAGGACTGTTACTGCATAAGAATAGGTACCATTTGTACTTAGATAATTAAGGGGCTTAAGCCACACTGATCAACCCAAAACATTAAACACAAATTAACGTTGTTCTGGTACGTGACAATGTCTTCATTCTTTAGTTCCAAAGTTCAGAGCATGCTGGTTTTGTTCTGTTTATTTGTAAAACTTGAAAATTAGAAAAGCCTAAAGGCCTTCAGCCAGCGGTTTTATTTCATTCAGTATGCCACACTAGTGTGAATAAAATTAATGCACAGACCTCCTGCTGAGGAAGGGGAATACAGACATTGTGCTACAGATTACATACACTCACTTTCCATTTAACAGGGCGGTTTATAAAACTGCAAAAAGTAACTAAAATGAATATTTTTTTTCAACAGTCACTGTGTCTCAGGGATGGGATTTAACAGAGGCCAGTACCTGCCACTGGATGGAGATGCTGATGAAGAGGATGCTTTGTCCCCTGAAGCATGTTACATGTGCAAAATCAATGGCAATTCCAAAAAAGACAGCAGGAAGAAGAGAAGTGCTAATGACACTGTACGTACTGGGATAGATAAGAACTAATGTACTTTGAGGTATTTTCAGAGACACCATACTCAACATTAAGTAAATGGAGGGAATTTTTTAACAGGCCACATTCAAAGGTGAAAATCTTTTTTCCTCTGCTTCAGTGGTTTTCACACTTGAGTCCTATTGGCAGGAATGATATGACAATCAGAAAGACAACAACTACGAATGGATTACATTTTTAAAACTTGTAAAGAATCCTTTGTAGTGTGAGATGTGGTCTAGTACAAGAGCTGTGTAATGCAAGCAGGCAAAATTCAAACACTCAGTTACAATGGTAAGGTGTGCTAGCCACACAAGATACATTGACAGAATGGGCAAAAGAGTCTTCTTTCTGAAACCGTGAGGACATAAAGCAATCTAGAAGCTTTAGGATCAGTACACACTATTTTGCATGATGCCATCAAAGCCAGTTCTTGAATTGGCAAAGTCTCTAAAGAAGCCAGTAATCCTGTAATTTGTGCTCTGAAGGATATAGTGTTGGCACTTACAATCTAACTGATTTCCTGACACACATTCACACTTCCCACAAACATCCCTTTTTCCCTTCCATTGGACTTGTTCCAATCTGAATTCTGTGGTCAACACCCCACAGAAATACATGGATATTTTGAAAAGCATGTTTTGTATTCTACACTTGATTTCATATCTAGTTCATAATGCTTATATCTTGTTAGTACTTTTTTAATAGTATTAACCTTTTCAGTTTCTACTACTAAAACTACCTGAGCATAAAAGTGAAAGGTTTCCCATCCATTAAACTTCGTGAAAAAAAGAAATAATCTCATCACTAATGACATCTATGGGGTGTGATATTTTAAACACTACAGTATGTGCTCTGGTCCAAATTTTCCTTGTTTTCACCATGTGTTTTTAATTACATTAGATTTAATACATTACAATTAATTATATTTTATTATTTTAGTACACACATATACTCACACATGATCGGAATTCCTTCAGAGAGAGAAATCCTCTGATATCTTTACAAGCATGAAAGGGTCTTGACATATAGGCTAGGTACCTTACTTAGCATCAGGTTTCCTAAAGAAGACAACAGCCTATATATTTTTGTAGAAGCACTTTAAAAAGCCGCTGCTTGTTAGATTGCTTTCCTAGGAGTACATTCATTGTCTGCCCCCAAGTGTGTTCACAGCTAACACCTCTGGATAGATTCACATCTGCAGCATACTAAAGCTCAGGTTAAAGAAGAACACATGACTGGTTTGTCAGAAAAAAATGCTGGGACTTCTTTCCACACTCCTTCCAGTGGTCCAAATGGGATGTAGTTGGGCAGTGTGATATACTAGGCCTTTCTGTTTAAGGCCAACAATATGGCAGTTCTGTCCTAAACTTCAGTTTCCTTTATAATCATCATACTTCCTCATCACCAAATGCTGAGCCTGGTTGTTTTCAGAAGCCAGGATTCTTTAAAACAGTTTTACCAGAAGTTTCGGGAAATACCCATACAGTGTTGCGGTATGTGTTTCTGTAATGTGCCTCACTGAAGTTGATCATAGGAACAAGGCTGTGCCTCACATACAGTCTTTACTGCAGTGGTAAACATAGGTCTCTTCTTTACATGGACTTTTTGCAAGCTTGAAGTTAAACAATCTGAGCCCCCTCTGTAGACTTGATGCTGTAAATTTAATTATCCTGTTAAGCCTGTGTGAGAAGCCTTTAAGATTTACAGGATGTGTTATATGGAATCAAGCAGTTCTCCCATGTGGAAAGGATTTACAACTGTGTCTTTCACAGCTAGATTTTTACTAATGCAGAAACTGTTAATAATCACTTACTATTCTCTCAATGCAAATGAATATCCGTTTGTCTCCTGCTTTAAACAGTCTTTCCTCCTTTACTTCAGGTTGAGCAGTTTAGCTTGGAAAGTCTAGACATAGATAGTCCTTTGAAGATGAGAATCAACGTTTCCAGGCTTGGCAACAAGGAGCACATCCTAGAACTCATGCCAGCCGTTGAGACCCTTACCAACCACGTGCGCTACATCATCTCACACGGCAATGATGATGGCATCTTTCAAATGCATCAGAGGGATGGACTGAGTTATTTGCACACAGTTAAGAATACATCAGCACCTGGAACTCATACTCTGGAAATCGCTAGCATTCCTCTGCATAAGAAAAAGAAGGTAACGAAAATGGAAGATGGCTATGAGGTCAAGTACCTCCTGGGAGAGCTTGGGAAAGCTCTTAGAATGAGGCTGTGGATAGACCTCTACTAGCCATCTTCCAGACTGAGGCCAGTTCCTCAGTGACTCCTGTTTATCTATCTAGGCACCTGAGTTTACCTGCTTTTCTAAGGCTTTGCAACAGTTACTGACTTTTGGAGGAGGAAGAGAGAGAGGACGACCTCTTTCTTTCCATCTAGCCAAGAGTGCAGAACCACCATTGCAAGAAGGTAATTTAAACTCTTCCACTGCCAAAGCTTCTATTAAAATGGTGATCATGGTTACTATATCTTCTATATAACCTCAATTTAAAGTATATCAAAAAGCTAAAGTTGAAGAAATTATCATATGGCACTAAATGGCACAAAAATGTGAGCTTTTTTTTTTTTTTACTTTTAGCAGTCTGTAATACTTGGGGTATTTTGCTATAGTTCCTAAGTAAAAAAAATATAGAAGTTTATTTATTTTTGATGCAGTAATATATGGAGAAAGTAGCAAGTTATGTAAACAAAAAGGGAAACTTGCTTGTTATTCTTTAGATTTATAAATTTGAGATATAACATTTTAGAGGTACTTTCTTAATTAAAAAATATAGATTTGAAGGATGTTTCCTTTTCTATTTGGGCCAGTCATCTAAATAGACATGTAATTTTAAAATATATCAGAACTGAAAGAGTATTGTATTGTATCTTCTGGATATTCTAAAGTACTCTTGCAAAACTTTGAGTATTCAAAAAAAAAAATAAAAAAAAGAAAATCGTGAGTCTTAAAGGACAAGAATTACAAAATCAGTCTCTGCAGAGATCATGTTTCATAGCAGCTCAATAGGATTGTATTCTGAATCAGCCATATGAAATAATGGAAGAAGAGGCACAACCACTGTAGCAAAATACCTTGACTGCTTTTAATACTATCAGAACTGCAGAACTAAATTGTACTGTAATTCCTTCCAATAACATTAAGGAACCATGCATACAACCACACCTCATTCTCAGAAAGGGTACTCTACACACTTGCATTATTATAGGCAGCTGAAGAAAATGTCTCTATCTGAAGGGAATGCATGACGTTTCATCCTGCTTGGTGCTGTCTTGAATTAATGATACTTTTATTAAAAACAGCAGGACTGCCATATGTGCAAGCTACTTATGCAGTGCAGACAAGGAAAATGCGTCTTTACAATCCATTTGTTAGAAGTTTTAATTAATACTGTAGTAATACACCATATGCCTCATTTTATCATAGCTTATTTTTTAAGAAAGATGTTTGTACAATGAGTTGACATATAGTTCACTTTAGTTATTTTTCTTTTAAAGTTGTACCATTATGTCTTAAGTGTATGTCTCCATGGTGCTTTTTTAGACACCTACTTTTTTTGTTACTAGTCATATAATAGAATCTCATATGTGAAAATAGCCAATGCACATGCTGACTCCAGGATTGTTTCAGTCTTATATCAGTGCTGACCAAAGATTATATCAAGTTATACTCAGTGGTTTTTCTTTTCTTTTCTTTTGTTGAGTTTGGGGATTTTGAAAAGAAAAATAAACTTTTTACATTTTTAATCAAATGTTTGTAAGAAAAAAAGTCTTATTTGAAGGTCTGTATCGGTAAGACACCACTTTTCTTCCAATAAAGCTTATTTTGAGGTAGTTTTTTCTTTGAAGTGTCTGTTCTTTACATAAAATAATTATCTAGTTGTAAATCTGAAGGATTTCAGAGCAGAAGGAGCTGGTACCATGCAAACTCTTCTTCACAGATTCATAGAATGGTTTGGGTTGGAAGGGACCTTAAAGATCATCCAGTCCAACCCCTGCCATGGGCAGGAACAGCTCCCATTAGACCAGGTTGCCCAAAGCTCTGTTCAACCTGGCCTTGAACACTTCCAGGGATGGGGCATGCACAACATCTCTGGGTAATACAGGAGAAGGCTGAAAGCAGGCAAGAAATAACTGATTAAATAATTACCAGTCCTATAGAAAGACTGCAAAATAGTTCACCTCCAAGCTTAAAAGATAATTGCACTGTTCTACCCCACTAATATAACATTTCTGAAAGCCATAAATTCTTAAAAATCAGAAACAAAGGCAGCTATGAACATGTGAGATAGGAAACAACAAAAACATTTCAGCAGCACTGACAGGCACAAATGAACTATGGCCTGAGTCAACGGTAAACATTTACCTTCAACATCATTTAGGAAAATTTGTTTACTAAAAGTATAACACATCTGGTATGCTATAATGAGATAAGAAGTTTACGTCACCATTGTATGTACATATTTTTACCTTGGTGTTTGCACAATTAACCATGATGGAGTGATCAGACTAAAGAATTTTGAAATTAACTGTGGCAAAGCCAAACAATTCCTACCTCTTCCAAACTGGGTTTTAATATCGTATAACCTTCATATTTTATATTTAAGCTCTCAAAACTGAGATTAAATTGCCAGCACCAGTTTCCCTCTCAGTCTTTCTGACTCAGCACTACCTAACTACCCTAGCTTGCTCTTGCATCTTCAACATCCAAGCTGCATTTGTTTCCAAGTTTTTTCCACCACCATCTTCAGCTTCAGTACTGGAGCAAAGTCTGCAGTCTCACACCATCTGGTAGTCACAGAGTTTCTTTCTTTTTCTATCTACATTACTCAGAAATTATGCAAACTTCACCATTTCTGTGTCACATATTTGAAGAGCATTATACTGTAAAATGACTGCTATTATTTGACACAGTGTTGCTGGATGCCTTATGCTTTGATTCAAACACACAGCTGAAGAACCTAATATACTCATTCATGAGTTTGCTGTGGGCTTTATTTCCCCTCAATATGTCTTCTCAAACCCCTTTCTAAGTTTCAGATAAGGCCTCCAATAGAGTAGGTCAATGCACATATTAAGATTACTTCTTTCAAGGAAGACTTTTTTTCTAAATTAAAAACTGTTCACCTGGTTAGTCAAACTGTGATAACAAATCAACTAATAAATCTGCAGGAGAATTCCAGCTCTATTAATAACATCATCCTGTCATTTTCATAATAAAAGCACGTTCATATGATCTTCAGTTAAATTTTCAGTTTCTTTCAGTTTAACTTTTCTAATTTTTCAGTAAGCCTACAAAACCCCCAGTTTCCATTTATTCAAAAAATGCATCAGGCACACTGGTGTGGTAAAGTCTCAGATTCCATAGAGCTTGCAATATAGCAAGCACCCCACGTCCTTTTTTCACTGTTGGGGATAAGTATCTTCAAGTTAAAGGAAGAATTCTTAACAGCTCATGTAAAGCTGAATCTAAAAGTAACCAATAACTTTAAAACCTATGATTTGAACACCTTACACTGTAAACGTCTTTTGATACATTTTGCAACATTAACTGAACAAAACAATCTACCCTATGGCCCTTATTTCCTGTCTTGTCTAAAAGGCTTTTATGAGGTTCCCTACAGGGAGTGGAAGAAAGGCAAGGGGAAGTTATAAATTAAACATAGCAAAACAACTTTCCTCAGAACTTGTGTTTCAGTAGATAGTAACATCTCTCACCATACCAGGTGGTTCAGCTAACTGTTTCTGTTATAAACTTACATATGTTAATATTATCAGCCTTGTGTGCTGAATTGCCCAGATTTTTTCTATGCAAATCACTCTTTCTGGCATCTGTTTTGAATTGGTTGCCTCTGTAATTTCATATATATAATTTTATATTGTACTGGGTTTTTCTGTGAGGGGTTTTTG